GATACTCATACACCGTCCAGTCATCCTCTCAAGGAGCACAACTTCTTCAGTTCCTTAAGCCCACAATGCACTGCCTGCCACAATTGATACTGGCGCTGGCGCTATGCGCGCTGCTGTCGCCGCCAGAGGCATTCGGTAAGTTCCATCTTGCATCTGCCATGTCTTCAACATGATCTGTTATGTTCTGACCAAACGCCTTGTTCATAGCCGAGCGCTATGGCTCCAACTATCGCTTGGGTCTGCGTTCCGTGGGCCGTGGCGAGCATGTCTTGCCCGAGGGCCGGTTCACCTCGTCGATTGTGAACAAGTTTAGCACACTGAAGGGCACCACCACCACAACAACCGCGGAGCCATCCACCACTCTTACACCCACCCCAACAACCACGCCCACCACAACAGGCACTACAGATACCACTACGCCAACCACCGACACGACGGCAACCACACCAACGGCAACGACGACAACGGCTCGTGCGTTTGGCGATGAGGCCGATCCACAGGTCGAGGATGAGGAGGAACCAGCCTTCAACGGAAATGCACGCGCCTACAATGACGATGTCGATGACGACGAGGAGGACGATAGCAGCGCCGCCGCCGACGACGACGACAATGATGATAACGATGATGAAGATGATGACGGAGATTACTTTGTGCTGGCCGCCGGCGCTGGAGCTGGTGCCGGTGTCGCTGCTGCTGGCAAGCCAGCGCCAGCTGCTATCGGTGCCGGAATGCCTGGCTATGTGCGTCGCCCATCGGAGCAGCAGTGGCGCCAGTTCCAGCTGGAGCAGCGCAATCGCCGACGCATGAATCGCCTGCAGCGCGAGCATAACCAGCGCATCCGTGAGCTGGTGCGTCGCCAGCGCATCTCGCAGCGCCGCAACAATCAGCGCATCCAACGCATCCAGCAGCAGAATCGCCGACGCGCCGCCAAGCGCAATCGCCGTAACAAGAACCGCACAAAGTCGCAGCGCCAGCGCCGCCGTCGCAACAATGTGGAGCGTCGCCGTCGCCAGAAGGCCCAGCGCCAGCGTCGTCGCCAGCGTCTCAGCCAGCGCCGTCGTCTGCGCCAGCTGCTCCGTCGCCGCCGTGGTCGCGGCCGCAGCGTGAGACGCGTCTTGGTTGCCTAAACCGTACCGGCTGCAGGATATGGCACAGATCTGATCGAATCCATGTAACGAGCAAACGCAATGGCCGCTAAAAAAGGCCCCAAAATAAATTGAATTTTTCAACAAAGATCCAAACACCTTTCAACTGATTAACGGGTCCTGCCTAAATAGTTGCCAAGAGCCTCTAAGCCGAACACCAAATCCGAATACACAGCTTTATTCATTATTTTTAGACACGATCGCGTGTGAACGAGGTGATTGTCGAGTGCTTTAAAGACTAAGAAAACTGAAGATCAGCTTGAACAGGATCCAATTACGAGTGCCCAACAAATCGTAGCGCTCACTAATTTTTCTGTGCTGTGATCCACATATATTATTTATGATGGCCTAGCATTTTGGTAGATCTTCATTCTTAAGATTCTTAAGCGAGTGATCTATATGTGTTTTTTTCTTCTTCGCCAATTTAAACTTATCTTTTGAATTGCATTTCAGTATATTTTCACTCTTCAGATCGCGTGTGATTTTCATTTTTTCAACCGTTTTATAGATCGTAACCTAAGCAAACGATAGTTTCCAGTTCCTCTCTACACGAATTGCAGATTTATATTCGCATTTGAATTTAACCATTCAAAAACTCAAGGCAAATTTTCATTTGTGTTTAGCTGAAAAACGTTTGGTTCCTTTTTAATCTTACAATTCTACGAAATTTCGCTTGTGATCTAGTTCAATCTTTAGTAGCTTTTTACTGATTCACTTCACCTGAATTTTAATTACCTTTCACTCACTTAATACTACGATCGATCAATCAATATAAGTTCTTTTCTGAATAGTTTGAGATCTGATGAGCAATTTCAAGTCATATAGTTTTGGCTACGCATTTGCGAATTGCATTCTGCAATTGAACTAAATGCGGATCGTAGGTCTGATCAGTGCGGTTCATTGACTCTGGTTACACTTTCGCCCTTAGGCGATGTTTCTGTTGAGATTCCAGAGTTTCTGTTGGTCTGAAACAAAGACAACAGCCATGTATGAATATGCTAATGCGCATCGATTGATTCGCAGATACAGATACAGCTATGCAAATCGCGTGTAGCGCGGATCGTGGAGCGGGAACAAGACCAAGAACGGGCTGAGGTGAGGTGAAGCTAGGGTTATCAGGTTGTTGCGCCGGGTCAACACCGGTGTTATTTATGGGATTATGCAAAATTGGCTTACAACTAGCGATCAAGCAGACTGCGCCTGTTAACATAGAGCCTATTTCGGTTGCTCTGCTCCGTTCCGATATGTTTCTATCGCTCTCTTTGGCGATGTAACTCTCTTGGGCATATTAGGCCTGCTAATTAGCCAAATGTTACAGCCCAGGTTGTAACTGTAGGCATATAAATATGCCAGCGATTGCCGTTGTAAGTCAGTCAGGCAGCGATACGCATCCAATAGAGATTCGCGGCAAATAGCCAAAAGAAAAAAAATAACAAGTAGCCAAAGGACATGCACATGCTCAGGGGTTTACTCATCGTGGCCTGCCTGGTAGCCATTGCGCTGCAGGCTAGCGGTAAGTAGCGGCAGTCGTTGTCCCACCTGCACAAGTGTCAACTGAAGTTCCATTCTATTGCAGCCAAGCAACAGCAGGGCAGACGTGGACATAAGCAGTATCAGCTGTTTGGCCGCCAGCAGGATTATGATCTGCCGGCCGAGGGACGCGTCAATCCGACCAAACTGGCAGCCGTGCTCAATGCCGCACTCGGCAACTCGAACGGCTCCTCGCCCACGCCCACAACCACCACCATATCGACCAGCCCAAGCACCACGACCGGCACCGCCACCACAACTCTGACACCATCGGCAACTACGACATCACCGACATCACCTACGACCACCACTCAAACAGCGGCAAGGCAGGCCTTTAACGACGACGATGACGACGATGATGTGGAGGAGGATGAGCAGAGCTACCAGCTGGCCAATCAATTCGATCTAGAGGACGATGATGACTTCAACGATGTCGCTCCCATTGAGGGCCATCTCATCCGCAGCGGTCAACGCAGTCGGGATGATGCTCTGGCGCGCCAGCGCCGTCAGTTCAGACGGAAGCAGCAAGTGCAACGTCGCCGCCAGCAGCAGGCCAAGCAGCGCCGTCGCCAGAAGCGTCGCCAACAGCAGCAGCGTCGTCGCCAACGCCAACAGCAGCAGCGCCGTCGTCGCAACCGTCGCCGCAACATGCGCCTGATCAAGCGTTTCCGCCAGGGCGCCAACCGGAACCGTAACAGACGCGTTATCCGCGTCCGCGCTTAGGACATAAAAGCATGGTCAAATTGCCAGACAACCTAATGTGAAACCTTGAATATAATACATACTGATCAACCTATTTACATAGTTTTATTTACGCCCCGATCATGAAGGCCATAGAAGCCACTTCATCTCAAATATCCAAAAAGCAGAAATTATATATTGTCATTTATATAATCAAAGTTCGTTGAGCTTGCTCAACATATCTCGCAGAAGGGAAAATTGCCCATATAAAAATTCGATTTTTGACTTATATTTCCTATACAGCTAAATGATATAGACGTCCCTTGCTAAAAGACATTTGGTGAGCTAAGAAATACAAAGTGGTACAAATTACCTAAGTAAAATATATAATATAGTGCCCCGATTCGATATAATTACTGATCAAGCAAGTATCCTTATATACTTGATGGTATCAGAGATTTTTTCGTGATAAAACTAAGTATGATGCGCTCTGTACGGGTGTCAGAAATAATTTAATGTTGCTTATACTATTATAACACTAATTTCTATACATCTAAGAAAACAGTTGACTAGAAGCGTAGACTAGAAGACTTGACTAAAAATCCAAGAGCTCCTTAAATCCTGATAATTTGTTTAGGTGTGTGTTCACAGTTCCCTGCAAATCTGCATAAAGTAGACTCTGCTAGAGTCTCCGAAGAACGATATTCTGCTGAAGAACGATTACAACTTAGTATATGCCTCTTCTTTTCATTTTCGTTTGTTTTTCGAGTTAAATCGATTCAGTTGCGATATTTTGAGAATCCGTCTGTGTATTGTCACTGATCACGTAGTATTTCTCGTAGGGAAATTTCTGAAAAATCAAAATACGCAGTCTACAAGTCTATGCAAGTCTACACTAGAATTGTCTAGTCTAATTTAAGCATATAAGTTTACATCTGTGGATACCCTAAATGTGTATGTTCTTAAAGTTGCATATGCTCAAGCATATTTTAAATGCCAATCAGTTAAGAGATGAAAATGAACATTAATTGCAATTTTATAAGAAAATCAACTTGTAATATTAACATTTATGTTTACAGTGTACCCTTGTTTTTCTGATCCAGTTATTGTCAATATCTTGATGACGATTTCTTATTGGCGCTTTAAGAGCTGTCAGAATTGATGAGCTCTTGACACTAAGAACGTATATATTAAACGAAAAGTAAAGATGGCTGATGTTAGCAATGTATTGTGTGGTCCGTCTGTGATATATTGTTGATTTGACGGGCGAGATCCGATTTTGATCGCAGCTGTTTTCATTGCGAACTTTGTCGCTGGGTCAATCTGGTTCATTGGAAGCGAATGGAGCGAGCGGGCAATAGAAATGTTGCCAAAAATTTATGCGAAAATTTGCAAATTTGCTAAAATGATAATGAGAATTATTAGCACCGACTAGCTGGACTAGTTGTTGTTGCCAACTGGAGCTTGGCCTCGGGTATATAACCCTGCCGGGCCGTTGGCATTGGCACAGTCAAGCAGCAATATTGCCCCAGGCAAGCAGCAAGCCGGAGCTCGCCAGGATCTAAAAAAAAGAGAGAGACGCACACACACATATATATATTTATATATATATATATATAGGAATTACCAGAAGAATACATCATCATGAGATTTCTGGGTTATGCACTGCTGTTGCTTACAGCAGCGGCTTTGGCCAACGCAGCAGGTGAGTTAAGCTGAGAGCGGCGAGCGTTTGATATCAGTCGTTATATCCATATCAATACAACAATCCGCAGTTGGACGCAGCGAGGATGATGAGGCATCGCCGCAGAGGTACCGCCTGTTCAAGCGCAGCGCCGTTGCCGAGGGCAGAACCCTGTCGCAGCTGCTGTCGCTGAAGGGTGGCAACTGTCCGCCAGTGACAACTACAACCACAATAACACCCACACCCTCGACGACCACAGGCACCTCGACCACGACAACAACTCCATCGGTCACCTCATCAACTCCGACAACGCCCCCGTCATCGGCTCGTGGCTACAATGACGACGACGATGAGCCTGCTGATGAGCAAGACGTGGACGTCGACGATGATGACTATGAGCTGGATCGCCTGCACGCCGACGATGATGAATTGGCCGCCTATGAGCTGAACAGCCTGACACGCCGTGGCAGCAGCCGCCCAGTACCGGCCAGCAACCAGCTGTCCGACAGCACACGCCTGCAAGCCTACGAGCTGCGCCGTCAGACGGAGCAGAACAAGCTACTGCGCCAGCGCATCCAGTTCCTGCGCCGCCAGAGCGCCCAGACTCGCCGTCGTGCCCAACGCGCCCGTAAGCAGCAGCGCCGCCGCAACAAGAACAATCGCCGTCGCTTGAGCCGCAGGAATCGCCGCAATCGCCGTCGCGCCAACACTCGCAATCGCCTTGCCAGACGCCGCCAGAGAAGGAACCGTCGTCGCAATTAGAACAGCTACCGCAGCCAGCTTGCATAGCATCCGTTGACAATCGAATCTTCTGAAATAAATCGAATACAAAAGCATGTGATTGAGATTTTAACAGCCACTCTCTGGCTCAAAGATAGAGAAAGAGACGGAGATCGAGGGACAGGGAGAGAGAGTAAAGGCTTAGTTAACTGAAAGTTATATTTCTTCCCTTCTTCGCTTATCAACAACATTTTTATAACCTGAACCCATTAAAAATGGGTATAAGTGTATATTGTATTTGTGCAAAATCCAAATGTATGTAACAGGCAGAAGGAAGCATCTCCGACTCCAAAAAGTATATATATTCTTGATCAGCATCAATAGCCGAGTCGATCTAGCCATGTCCGTCTGTCTGTCCGCCCGTCCGACCGTCCATCCGTATATATGAACGCAAGGATCTCAGAACATATAAGAGCTCTAGACTTGAAATTTTAGATGTAGGTGCTCCTAGTGCCTGCACAGATCGACTTTGTTTCCAAAAATCGATAGCTTAATCCGTTTCCAAGAAATCGATAAGAATCGAAATCGAAAAAATTGGCATCAAAACAAAGGAAATTCAAAATTTTGAGCCAAATCGACAAAATAGCAACAGGAGATATGACCTTCCAAATCATTACAGTTTTTTTTTCAAGATCGAGGTCGGTGCGAAAATCGAAAGAAGATATGACGTTTCAAAACGACATAACTCCGCGCGGAGACCATCTCAGCCATCACGATTTTTTTCAAGATCGAGGTCGGTGCGAAAATCGAAACTTTTTCGATGATTTTTAATATCTCGGGTAATAGCTCCGCGCGGAGATATGACGTTCCAAAACGACATAACTCCGCGCGGAGATATGACCTTCCAAATCATCACGTTTTTTTTTTTTCAAGCTCGAGTTCGGTGCGAAAATCGAAAGAAGATATGACGTTTCAAAACGACATAGCTCCGCGCGGGGACCATCGCAGCCATCACGATTTTTTCAAGATCGAGGTCGGTGCGAAAATCGAAACTTTTTCGATGATTTTTTTTAATATCTCGGGTAATTAATGTCTGATTTTAAAATGTTATACATTTCTGAATGCGTACAGATCCCTACCATCAATTGGCATTCAAGCAAATTAAACAACGTTTTGTTAAAAAAATGTTGTTGACTAAACACCGATTCGTTCGTTAATTCAACCTTTCTGATGAAATTTTGGAATATTTTCGTCAAATAATGTCAGGTTTTGGAATTTAATACCATTTTTGACTCGTAAGGATCAGTTCTATCGATTGGCATCAAAAAAAAGGAAATCCAAAATTTAGACCCAAATCGACAAAATGGCAAACGCCTTTTTTTCAAAATAGAAATCCAAAATTTTGACCCAAATCAACAAAATGGCAAGGGGTTACATCCCGTTTTTTTTTCAAAATCGAGGTCTGCGCAAAAATCGAAACTTTTTCAATGATATTTTAATATCCCGGGTAATAGCTCCGCGCGGAGATATGACGTTCCAAAACGACATAGCTCCGCGCGGAGATATGACGTTCCAAAACGACATAGCTCCGCGCGGAGATATGACCTTCCAAATCATCAGGTTTTTTTTTTCAAACTCGAGTTCGGTGCGATAATCGAAAGAAGATATGACGTTTCAAAACGACATAACTTCCCGCGGGGACCATCCCAGCCATCACGATTTTTTCAAGATCGAGGTCGGTGCGAAAATCGAAACTTTTTCGATGATTTTTTTTTAATATCTCGGGTAATTAATGTCTGATTTTAAAATGTTATACATTTTTGAATGCGTACAGATCCCTTCCATCAATTGGCTTTCAAGCGCAAAAATCGAAACTTTTTCAATGATATTTTAATATCCTGGGTAATAGCTCCGCGCGGAGATATGACGTTCCAAAACGACATAACTCCGCGCGGAGATATGACCTTCCAAATCATCACGTTTTTTTTTCAAGATCAAGGTCGGTGCGAAAGTCGAAACTTTTTCGATGATTTTTTTAATATCTCGGGTAATAGCTCCGCGCGGAGATATGACGTTCCAAAACGACATAACTCCACGCGGAGATATGACGTTCCAAAACGACATAACTCCGCGCGGAGATATAACGTTCCAAATCATCACGTCTTTTTTTTTCAAAATCGAGGTCGGTGCGAAAATCGAAAGAAGATATGACGTTCCAAAACGACATAACTCCGCGCGGAGACCATCCCAGCAATCACGATATTTTTCAAGATCGAGGTCGGTGCGAAAATCGAAACTTTTTCGATGATTTTTTTTAATATCTCGGGTAATTAATGTCTGATTTTAAAATGTTATACCTTTTTGAATGCGTACGGATCCCTACCATCAATTGGCATTGAAACAAATTAAACATCGATGGGTTCATAAATGTTAAAGACAAAAATACCATTAGTTCGTAAAGTCAACCTTTTTGATGATTTTTTTGAAAATTTTCGTCAAATAATGTCTGATTTTGGAATTTTATACCATATTTGACTAGTAAGGATCAGTTCCATCGATTGGCATCAAAAAAAAGGAAATCCAAAATTTTGACCCAAATCGACAAAATGGCAAGGGGTTATAAGTTATAAGTTTTTTTTTCAAAGTCGTGGTCGGTGCGAAAACCGAAACTTTTTCGATGATGTTTTAATATCTCGGGTAATAGCTCCGCGCGGAGATATGACGTTCCAAAACGACATAGCTCCGCGCGGAGATATGACGTTCCAAAACGACATAGCTCCGCGCGGAGATATGACGTTCCAAAACGACATAACTCCGCGCGGAGATATGACGTTCCAAAACGACATAGCTCCGCGCGGAGATATGACGTTCCAAAACGACATAGCTCCGCGCGGAGATATGACCTTCCAAATCATCACGTTTTTTTTTTTCAAACTCGAGTTCGGTGCGAAAATCGAAAGAATCCCAGCCATCACGATTTTTTCAAGATCGAGGTCGGTGCGAAAATCGAAACTTTTTCGATGATTTTTTTTAATATCTCGGGTAATTAATGTCCGATTTTAAAATGTTATACATTTTTGAATGCGTACAGATCCCTACCATCAATTGGCATTCAAGCAAATTAAACATCGATGGGTTCATAAATGTTAAAGACAAAAAAAACCATTAGTTCGTAAAGTCAACCTTTTTGATGATATTTTGGAATATTTCCGTCAAATAATGTCAGATTTTGGAATTTAATACCATTTTTGACTCTTAAGGATCAGTTCTATCGATTGGCATCAAAAAAAAGGAAATCCAAAATTTTGACCCAAATCGACAAAATGGCAGGGGTTACATCACGTTTTTTTTTCAAAATCGAGGTCGAAATCGAAAGAAGATATGACGTTCCGAAACGACATAACTCCGCGCGGAGATATGATGTTCCAAACGACATAGATTATAGCGGGCATCTTTAGTATTCAATTTAATTTACAAAACTTGTCAAAGTTTCACATATATATATATATATATATATATATATATATATATTTGTTTTTTTGTGAAGCTTTAAGTTAGATAAGTTTTCAAATTGCTTTTCAATGAATCGCATATTATTATCTTCTTGTTCTCTTCGTTATCGAAATCTATTTCATTAAAGACTTTCTTCTATTTTCCTCTACTTCTTAAGATGTTTCTATCTTTTTCTTAACGTCCATTAGGCTTCTGGAATTTTAAGATCTTTTGTTAATTCGAATTTGAAAGCATATATAGAAGAAGATATAGGACATGGATTATATAAAAGTTATGCTCCATATGCTACATATGGATCACAAAAGCGGTTTACCAGATTGAAACTGAGGCTGCCCTGCGGTTGGCTGGTGCACCTTCAACCCATTTGCCTCTCATTAAAAACTCGAGTTTCGGTGCGCCAACTAAATTGGTTTTCACTTTTTCAGAACAACACGCGGTGTCCAATGACCAAAAGTCGAACTTGGACTCCGACTGGGATTCAGACTGAGCGATGATGATGACAGCGACAATTAAACTTGCTGGCATGAAGGCCAGGGCCAAGGGCGCGCGGCAACTTTGACGAGGGAGGGCTCATTGCCAAGTGCGCGAAACGCGCATAGAAAGCAGCCAAAGCGGCCAGCGCAACGGCTCAATGGTTGAACGCTTGACTGGCTTGGACCGGGTGCCGAGATGATAAGCAGAACGAGACTCGACGGCGATGACGGTGAAGAACTATTCGCCGGGGCCTTGATGGCATGCTCAAATAGCTGCAAGCATTATTTTGGTCTTCTCTTTTATTTTTGTCGAAAAATTGAATTGAATTCAATTGTGAATTGCGTATATTTTCTGGATAGGCAGAGTCGAAATTCCCTAGGCCATTTACAGTTAGCGCCCGAGCAATGGGCAATGGAATTTGGGATTTGCGATCTGGCATTTGCATAAGTATTGATGCCATCGGACTCGCAAAGGTGGGTATAAAAGGCTTTCAATTTAGACGATAATGTATCAAACATTGATTACCAATCAGTGCGAGCACACACGGCTGGGACTCGAACTTGAACTCGGACACAACTGGCAGCAAGTAAAATCGTCTGTTCGAAAAGTTCTCATACGCTATACAGCTGAGTAGTTTCTGCAGCTCCAACGATGAAGCATCCAATCACATCCTTGCTACTTCTCTCCAGCCTCATGTGCCTCATGGTGCTGGCCGAGAAGCCGTCGCACATGCTGAAGGCTCGCCGCGGCTCCTATTTTAATGAGCCCGCCCTGGCGCGCTCTAACGATGCCAGCGTGGCTGTGGCTCTCGATACGAATGCCGACAAGGATAAGCTGAGCGAAGCAGCCGCTGTCGTTGGCGGCGCCAGCAGCAGTGGCAGCAGCGGCAGCATCAGTGCCACGGGCAACAAAGATGCTTCCAGCGGACGGCTGTTCCTCAAGAAGTTCCTTATGTTCAAGAACATGTTCAGCAGTAACAATCAGCCGGTGATACCCATTATTATAACTGGAGCTGGCAGTGGCAGCGCCACCACTCCGACAACCACGGTGACATC